CTCTCAAAATCCTAGGTGAAATCTCAGTAAATTCTGTTCCCCTGATCAGACAAGTTACCCTGTCAAAAATAGAAATTAGGCTAGTCTGGAATAATATGTTCTCAATAAAGCTATTATGACTTTTTAAGATTCTTCATTGTCATTCAGTCATTTTAGTTATGTCTGACTTTTCATGACCCCCTAAGGATTTTCTTGGTAGAAATACTAGAGCAGTTTGCCATTTCCTTATCCCAATCATTTTACAGATGAGGAAACTAAGGCAAACTGGGTTAATTTACTTGCCCAGGGTCACACAGCTGGTAAGTATGTGAGGCCAGATTTGAACTCTAGAAAATGAGTCTTCCTGACTTCAGGCCTAAAATTCTATCCACTGCACCACCTAGCCACCCTTTTTGAGATTACCATTTCCCATTAATGTCAACAAACCATGCCTTTACTAATATGTCCTAGAATTTTGTCAGAAATCAAAGTCAATCTCATTGACCTATAGTTGGCAAATTCTATTCTCTTCCAAACTTGAAAGTCAAGACGTTATTTTCCCTTCTATAGTCCTGCAGCATCTCTCCTATTCTCCACAATTTTTTCAGAGATCAGTGACAGCAATTTGGCAATGTCATCTGCTAGTTCTTCCTTTGTTCTAGAATGCAGTTCTTCCAGGACTTGTAATTTAAATTCACTGAGAGGGGCAGCTAGGTGGCGTAGTGGATGGAGCACTGGCCCTGAAGTCAGGAGGACATGAATTCAAATCTGGCCTTAGACCAAACACTTGACACTTACTAGCTGTGCGACCCTGGGCAAGTCACTTAACCCCAATTGCCTAAAAAAACAAAAAAAAAAAATAAATTCACTGAGGGAAGCTAAGAGCTTGCTCTTTATCACCTTTCCTTATCTTGGATTTCAACTTCCTATAGACCTTTTTGTTCTATTCTTTTAAGGCCAAAGATCATTCTTCTTGGCAGAGAAAGTAAGTAAAATAAGTAGTTTGTTCTTTCTCAAGGAACATATAAAGTAATAGGGGGTAAAATCCAAATAACTATTACAAAAAGGAAAACTATTTTAGAGTAATAAGAATTAGTACAACAGACAGATCTAGGCAAACTGATCTAAAAAATATAATAAGAGACTGCTCTCAGTTGGAAGAGAAAAGTACAAAGGATTCATGGAGGCAGTGACATCTGTTTGGAGCCATGAAGAAAGGAAGACACTTCAACAGATAGAGATAAGAGAGGAATTCATCCCAGTTCTGGAAATGGTATGAGTAGCAATACAAAGAAATATGAAAAGGGAGGCAGAGAACAGGGATCATGGGATTTAGAACTAGTGGTTAGTTGTCTAAGTTTGCTGGAATGTTGGGTATGTGATGGGAAATAGCAGAGATAAGATTGAAAAGGTATGTTGGAATTATATTGTAGAAGGTCTTGAATGCCAGGATCAGAAATTTATTATATAAGCACTGGGGAACCCACTGAAGGTTTTTAAGCAGAAGGGAGGCCTGAACAAAATGATACATTATTGAGATTACCTACGCATTGGTAAGAAGGATATATTAGAAAATGGATTGGTTAGTCAGTAAAAATGCAATATAGTCTATAATAGTTTAGGCAAGCAAGTAGTAATGAACTTTGAATTGGAGAGGCTTTGGTGTAGTCAGAGAATGTTGTTATTCTGTCATTTTCAGCCATGGCTAACTCTCTGTGACCCCTTTGTGGGGTTTTCTTGGCAAAGATATTGGATGATTTACCATTTCCTTCTCCAGCTTATTTTCTAGATGGGGAAACTGAGGCAAATAGGGTTAAGTGACTTGCCCAGGGTCACACAGCTAGCAAGTGTCTGAGGCCAGATTTGAACTCTGCAAGATGAGTCTTCCTAACTCCAGGCAGGCCACTCTATCCACTGCACTATTGAGCTGCCCAGTCAGAGAATGACATGCACCCAAATAATAAGGATAAAAAGGAAAGAATGATTGAAGTCTTGGGATTGTAATTAGAAGACCTCAGATCAAATGCCCACTTTAATGCTTGCTAGCTATGTAACTCTGGACAAGTGATTTCATCTCTCTGAATGCCCCAGTTTCCTCATCTGTAAAATGAATGGGCTATAGGGTCTTCTTTGTGCCTTTTTAATTGTTCATGGGCTGCAAGGAGTCCTTTGAATCTCATTAATTTTCTTTGTGTTGAAGCAGTTTCACATTTGATTTATTAAACACACACACACACACAATGAATGCACTTGATTTAGATGATATCTATAACTCTGTGGGATGGGGGTATAAAATGTAAGTGGAAAGGGGGGGAGGGGATAATATCAGAGATATTGACAAGAAAAGATCTATAGGAACTAGCAATTGATTACAAGGCAGTAGGGGAATATCAGTAAGGGAGAGAAAAGAGTGCAAGATGACTTTGAAGCTTCCAGTCTATGTGATTTGATGTTTCCAAATCTTCAATTTTATAGGTCACAACATCGAGGTTACTCACTGTTCAAAACCTGAACCATCGGTAGCTTCATGTTGCTTGGTAATTTCTTAGCCTAGCATTTAGTCCATACCTTGGCTCTAATCTGCCTTTACAGCTTTACTTCATATGACTCCCCCTCACAAAGTCCACATTCTAGACAAACTGGACTAAAAGCTGTGCCCTGATCTTTTTTTTTTTTTTTAACCTTTCTTACCTCTTTGCATTCATATGGGCCATCTTCCATGCCTGGAACTCTATGTCTGTGTATGTTGACATCTTGCTCTTTTAAAGGATACTGAAAGGTCTCTTTCCTTTGATGCCTTCTCTGGTCCCCTCCATTTCCAAGCTGAAAATAACACTACCCTTCTTAATTATTTTGTTTTCGATGGCGTTTTCTCTGGATCTCTCCTTTGACCTTGTACCATTTTAGCTTGAACTATGCCTATTTATGTATGTCACATTGCCCTTTTCCCATTAGTTTGGAAGTTCCAAGAAGGAGGAATTCTATTGTTTTTCAACAATCTACAATAATTAGTAGAGTGCCTTGTACACAAGAGGAATAGTGCTAGGTATAGGGACTCAGCCTGTGATTTCATTGTTGTAGAGAACTCCCTCTGCCAATGCAAGTTAGCACCTAACAGTCTTAGAGAGTTGGCAAAAAAAAAAGAACACTAAGAAGTTAAATAAGCAGGATTACACTACTTGTATTTGTCAGAGGCAGGACATGAACCAAAGTCTTGCTGACTCTGAGACCAGCTCTCTATTTGCTACACCATGATCTACCACCAAGATATACTAAGTCCTTAATAAATGATTGTTGGATTTAAAATGGAGCCCCAAAGAGATGTTGGGAGTAGAGATGGAGATTGGGTTGTTTATTTCCATAGATATGGTCATTGAAAATCTGGGAATTATTGAAGAGAGGCAGACAGACACTTGGGGGACAGCACTGCTTAAGCAATGGAAAGAGGATGACATATCAGCAAAAAATAAATATCAGTAGGAGAATGACAAGAATGTAGCCCCAGATAACCAAGGAAGGAGCAGGCCTTAAGAAGGAGTGGGTAAACAGTGTCAAACAATATAGTGGCAGAGAGCGTTAGAACAAGAAAAAAAATGCCATTGGATTTGGGAGGTCATATATGTCTCTAAGGTGTAGAGGATTAGTATTGAGTGTACTCACAGTAGAAGGCCTCAACATTTACAACAAAGCCCAAGACACAATTATGCTGAACAATGAGAAAGGTATGAGGACTTGAGAGGAGGAAGGGGTTTGGAACATGCGTTGTCAGGAATGTGATAGAGAACGAATATGAGATAAAGGACTGGTATGAAGTAGTGAAGGACTAGTTGATGTAGATGGCATAAACTGGTAATTGACCCAATCATTATCATATTATTTTTTTTAATAGCATTTAGGTGCTCAGACATAGGGGCAAAGGAAATGAATGATAGGAGTTACCCAGGTATTACGACAGACAAGAGTTACGAAAATTCAAAAGCAGAGAAGGCATTACGGTAAATGGCTGATCATAAGGTCAAAACAAAGAAGGGAGGAAAGTGAGATCGACACAAGTTATAGGCTTGGAAAATAAAGAGGAATAAAGGGCCACAATGAAGGATGAAGAACACATTTTCAAGGAAGATTACAGTTTGAAAGATAAAAGAGTAGTGGGTTGTGGTGAGAGAGAAAATTTCAGGGGTTTCAGTTTGGATAGTCGAACAGTTTTTAGAGATGGTGGAGTCTTGAGTTTTGACCAGGTTGGTAGGTGGCTGAATTCTAGAGAAGATAGAGATTATAACAGTTGAAAGGCATATCAAGGGTAGGGGATTTATCCAAAGAGTCAGACTACTGCTGAAGGATTTAGAATCTCTGGAATTAAAGGAATAGCAACTGTAAAGCAACTCTGGATTCCAACTGGAAAAGGTGGAATTCAATGGATAAGGAAACAAGAATAAAACACTTTCATTTTGGCATGCACACATCTGTAACAGCTTAACAAAATTCTGTATTTAGAAGTTTGCTGTGTTACCTTCATTATCTTGGAAGATAAATCATTTCTTAATAGATATCCTCCTCCTGGTAACCACAAAGTCATTAAACACGATGAAAGAGCTTGTTTAGAGCTTCATCATGACATATCCTATCAATAATAGCAAGGAATGGAGGGCCAAGTAATTCATTTTCCCTTTCTCCTTTCCTCCCCATAGAAAGTTGATACATATAGATTAACATCATTGACCGTGTCCATTTAGGAATGTGCTTGAAGGAAAAAAACATTGGCTCTGTGAAGCATTTTTCTTATAGTATTCTCTTGTAGTAGGCAACAGAAACCCTCAGTTATAACAACAAGGATATTATTCAGAATGTAGAGTCACAATTAGAAAATAGGTCCTTCAAAATTCTAATTCTACACCATTGAATTTACCGTGTGAGCTTTAGCTGGTTATTTCATCTATCATATCTGAAGATTGCAGTAGTTCTTACTTCCCCACATTACAAAGCACTACACCTCACTCTATGACCCTGAGCAAACCACTCACCTCCATGGGCCTCAGTTTCCTCATCAGTAACATGAGCAGGTTGGACAAGATAAAAAGATCCAAGGCCGTTGAGTTGTGAAAGTGTTAATAAGCAGCTATCCAAAATAGACTTGAGGAACGAACCAAACTTTTTCACACTCCAAGGTTACCTGCCAACAGCAGAGAAAAGAAAGGATAAGCAGAACTCAGAAACTCTGTTTGTTAGGTTGATCCATTCTTCTGAAGGCCTCAGCACAATCCCTTTATTCCTACCTTCAGTTCACACCCAAACCTGTAGGTAGTTTTTTCCATATAAAAAAAATCACTCAAATAATAAATCACAAAAAATGAAAATGATCTGATTCTTCTAATTTATATATGCAAATGCAAGGACAATCTACTTTCCATGTTCAGACATTAAAGAGCTAAACATTGAGTGATACACAACTTTATTTGGGGTATCTGTTAACCATCTTCCTCTTTCCCAAATGATCATGTCAACAGTATAGCAATGGAAGAAAGAAGAAACTAGTCCCTGTGTTGTTGTGTGATTGATTGTGTAAGTCAACATTTATGCAGTATCTACTATGTGCAGCCCTGCACCTACACTGTATAGGAAGAAACCACTGTGTACCATTTTTTTCTCTTTCTATATATGTCTTGTCTCCCCTGAAAAGATTGTAAGCTCTTGGAGAGCAGACACCATCTTTTAAACTTGTTTTGTACCCTGGCAACTAACAATACCTTGCACATGTGTATTACTCAAATGTTTTGTTGGTTTTATTGGTACATAATGTTTACTTCTTTGACAAGTGCCAATCATTCATCTATCACACTAAGAGAGGGGAAATAAAAGTTTCTCCCCACTATTTCTGTGCTAGAATCATATCTTTTGTCTGAGCATCTCAGTGCTTCAGTGATAAGAGTTGTAAAAATGCATAGACAGATAATAAAACCGTAACATTTTTCATAAATTATTGAGCTAAAGTCATTTCCTTTTTTCCATCCATTTTTAATGGTTTGCAGTACACATGCTGACTCAGAGTGAGATTACTTTTTAAAATATGAGGTGGTCTCAGTTTACTTATTTGCATATATCCCATAATGCAATAAACTGCAATGTATGCTAGGAAATTACCAATTAGGTCATAAGAATATGAAGACTAGGACAGAAAATTAAAGGAGGAAGAAGATTTATATAAATAAGATATGCAGATCTATTATTTTAGGTTTCCTGAAGAAAATAAGCTTTATTACCATATATTTGTTTTTTTATGGTAATTTGCATTATTTTCCTTTTATCAATGAAATCTCCCAATAAGCAAAGTCCCATTAAGATACATATTAACTTCTCTTTCTATAACCTCCACAAATATTTACCATATGCTTCAATCACCTAACAATTAACACAGGTAATCATTTCTCTCCAATCAGTTATTTTGCATCTTTTCAACTATTGATTATTCCATAACTCTTTAATAAAGTGGTGAATGGATTGGGGGGGGGGGATGATGAATCAGAAGGAAGAAAAAAAAAAGGATGAATGACAAAAAGCATGAGATGAGGTTAAGTATGTGAATTTGTTTATAAGTATGCAGAAAATATACCAGTCTCTATCCCTGTTTGTAAATGGAGAGTACCTTCATTTGGTTCTCTTCTTTTTTCTCAGAAAAAGGCCCTAAGTTCTCCTTGCCATTATCATAGTATAGTGCAGCTATATTTGTATGTATATCAAATTTTGTAAGTAGTTTTTGCCACATCAAAAAACATTCAAATAATAAATCACAATAAATGAAAATGACTTGTTTTCCCTAAAATATATAAAAATGCCAGGGCAATCTGCTTTCCATGTTCAGACACCAAAGATCTAAACATTGAGTGATATCCAACTTTATGAGACACATAAAAATGAAATAAAAAATGAGTGAGAAGATAAACATTTAAGGAGATAAACGTCACCAAACAGGAATGATTACAAAGTTTGTAACAATCTGCATTTTTCTTTGTTTCTTGTTTTCTTGATTCTCCCCACCTAACCCTTTAGTAACTGTAAAGCCTTTAATAATGTATATTACGATTTTCCACAACATTAGAACAAAAGATTCAAAAAAGGCTCAGGCTACATTTATAGGACAAAATATACAGAATTTGCAACTACCTTGAATCTGCTTCATTCATCTGTTTTCTGTTCATAAGGACTAGGAATAGGGACAGGACTGGACCAGTGATTTCATCCATCGGAAGAAGGCCCAGATTAAGGAAATCCACTCTACCAAAGTAGATTGGTACTTTCTTTGCAATTGATAATCTTAGAACAGGGGTGTCAAATTCAACTAGAAACAGATCCTTACTTCTCCACATTGACTTAGAAGACCACAAAGGAACATTATCTATGTTTTATCATATTTTAATTTATTTTGTTAAACATTTCCCAGTTACATTTTACTCTGGTTAAGACTTCACTAGAGAGTTTTGCACTGCTTGTTTGACTCTTCTGGCCCAGAGCACTGGAAATTTAAATAAGTTGCCAGTGGTCACACTCTCAGCATAGTCAAAAGCAAGACTTGAACTCACTTCATCTTTCTGTCTTTGAATGCAGCACTCTATCCACTAAACTATATTTACCCTTTTCATAAAAGCTGAAAATGAAGCCAGATTTCTACATGTTCAACAGAAAAAATCCAGCTATTGATTGTATATTTTATGATAGAATATTAAGAAAGGATAAATCCGAAGAACTGTTTCTTATTTCACATCCTCTGACATCATGTACACAAAATGAAAGGGGAAAGGTATAAAAGAATATAAAAAGAAAAGAGCTAATTATTATAATTTGGAGCCTAACAACTTTGCCACTGGTCTGATAGAGTTACTGTATTGTTACATATATTATCATCCTATAAAATGGTTATAGTAATTTTTTAAACAAATAATTTACTCAAAAGACATCTTTCATTGGTCAGTGATGTGTTCTACCATGTATTATTTGTTGAGGCTCATAGGTTGTGTAGTGGATAGAGTGCTGGGCCTGGAGTCAGGAAAACCTGAATTCAAATCTAGCCTCAGATATTTACTAGCTGTGTGACCCTGGGGAAATAATTTAAACTGTGTCTCAATTCCTCAACTTGCAGAGTTGTTGTGAGGATTCAATAAGATAATATCTACAAAATACTTAGCCGTGCTATATAAATGCTTCTTCCCTTTCTTCTACTTCCTTTTAAGAGGGAGAGGGAGAAATTTAGGGTTAATATCAGGAAAATTACTTCCTAACAACTAGAATTGTACAAAAGTGGAATGCCTTGGAAGGTGGTTGATTTCCCCTCACTGGAGGTCTTTGAATAGATACTAGATGACTACATGTTGGATATGTTATTGTGAGGATTCGTTTTGAAGTATGGGTGAAACTGGATGGCTACTAAGCTAACTTGAAAATTGTGAGAATGTGTGATTCAAGTTCTAGGGCATGTAACTAACAAGATGGAAGATGATACATTTTCTTGAATCGTTACAACCTCTCTGCTACACTAGCCACCCTACCCACAGGGTTGCAACAAAACACAACCCCATGTACTGATCTCCCTTCCTCTTTCCAGTGCAAGAGAGATCTAAGTTCCAAACTGCAGAAATTTGCTGAGGACCTGACAGCCAGTCACTACAGCAGCATTCTATGCTGCAAAGTAACACAGGGAAAGGGGCAGGGCACATGTCTGCCTGTTCTTGAAATAGAACTCACTCCCATACCCTAAACTCTCATACATTTTCTCTCAGAGCTTCAGAGATCCAAATTCCAAAAGGCAGAAATCACCTGAGGCTACAATAGCATTAGTGTGGCAGCACTCTGTACTCAAGCCAGAGAATAGAAAAACAGAAAGAATAGGAGAGAACATAGTATATAGGAGAGGTCTTGTAGCCCCCCAAAATTATGGAGAGCAGAGACATCGTCTGATAAACTATGAATTTCATGGCATGGGAAGAGGCTGAGATGCTTTGAGAACCAGCCCCCAGGGAAACCACCATTAGAGAGGAGGGAATGCAAAAATGAGCAATAAGGAAAAATAAGAAAAACAAACTGAAATTTCCAAATGCAAAGAAAAGAACATTCAAATAACATAAGATGGTTCTGGGCCCATCAGAAAATGCAGGAGTCTGTGCTTATGTGTTAATAAAATAGATATGACTTTAATAAAGAAAAGAGGTAAATTATGGTACAACAGATAGAGCATTGGGTCTGGAGTCAGAAAGACCATAGTTCAAATCTATCTTCAGACATTTACTCTCTATATAACCCTGGGCAAGTCAGTTGACCTCTGTTTCCCTCAGTTTCCTCAACTCTAAAATGGGAAGAATAATAGCACATCTATTTCTCAGAGTGGTTGTGAGGATCAAATAAGATAATAAACAACAGTAACGCATAGTATCTAGTACATAGTAAGCACTATATGAATGTTAGTTCTTTATTATTATTATGCTCATTTAAGATCATAGAGGTAAAAAGAAAAGCTCAAATTTAAGTAGAAGACAATATTTAAGCATTGAAAAGCAAAGCATGGAGGAAAATTGAATTTAACTCAGTTCAATAAGCAAGGTCCTACTAACATGCAAAGTACTATGCTGAGTGGTAGTGATTTAAAGACAATCTTAGTCCACAAAGAGCTTTCATTCCATGTAGGGATACAATATATGCACAGAAAAGTAAATACATGGTAGTTTGAGGAGGAAGAGTACTTTTTACCATTTATTTCAATGAAAAATATAGGTAAATTCATTTTGTAAATAAAAAGTTGAAAAAATTGATCAACATTTTAAAAAAATCTATGAATCTTTTTTTTTCTGTGAGACTAGTATTTCTGTACCTTTTCCATAGCTGTTATGATTGGAAATAAACTTTTCTAAGGGAATAACTACCTCATCTATGTTATCTATTCCATCTATAGATTCATTTGGTTGGACCTTGTTTTGGCAAGTTTGGACAATTACCTAAGGCAGGTTTGGCAAATTATTAAGCAACCAAGTATATTAACTGATTACTATTAATAAGTCCATAATTAAGCCATTAGGCAAACTATTCAGAGGCAGCAGT